TGCCGCAATATGCAAAGTATTCTTCAACCCACAAAGGTACTAAATATTTTTGTAAAGACTGTCGCAATATGCAACATATTCCTCAACCCACAAAGGTAGCGTCGCAGGACTTATGGTCTTCGTGGCACTCCCTGGCCTTAACCTGCCCTACTACTGGCTGGGTATCCTAGCGAATACAAACCAGTTCAATTGCAAAAATATTCAGATACTAGCTGGGTATCCTAGAGAATACAAACCAGTTCAATTGCAAAGAATCATATTCAAGGTAACCAAGGAAAATCCTGCTCTGATACCAGGAGAGGAGGAGGGGGGGTGGAACTCAAAACAGAGATCAAGGGTTGGAACCGCCAGATAACTGCTCAGATACCCCAAAAATAAAAGGTACAGAGAAAGCAGGAAAACTCAGTAAGGGAAAAACACTGCTCAGATACCAAGGGGAGACAGAACAGAGAAAACCGGGAATGAACCCAGAATAAACTGCCCTGAACCCGAAGAGGGGGAAGGAAATGAGGAAAGTAAAGTGACAGGAAAACAAATAAATTAAAACATGTTATAACTCTTTATCTCTTATGTCGGTCAACGTGGCTACTTAGCTCACAGAGAACCCGAAACCGGGCTAGCTAAAATGAAGACTGTCCGAGAATAAAGTCGGTTATAGCAAGAAAAGTGTTCACCATAAGATTATGAGATGAATGAATCTGGCATAGCCGGTTAGACATCTCCTCATAAGCTTACGCATGAACGAAATTAAATGCAGAAAAGTAAAGACGAGAAAAATAAACACACAAGTCCATGATAAGATTATGAGATGACTGAATCTGACATAGTCGGTTAGACATCTCCTCATAAGCTTATATGAACACAAAATAGTTGTACAAAAGTTATTTAAGCCTTTAAATGATTATTGCATCTTTTAATAAATAAAGCTTAAGGCATCCGAGGACGCCCTTATAAGAAAACTACTCCATAAAGAGGGAGCAGAGAAAACTTACTCGGGGAGGAGAAGGAGAAGGAGAGGGGAGATGCTGAATAACTTCTCTTATTGATAATAGAAATTTACATAAGAAGTAGAGAGAAGGAAGCGAGGAGAGAGTTTAAGGGATGCCTCTTTGGGGGAATGCTTCTTGGAGGAATGCTTCTTGCCCAGCATAAGGGACTTATGAAGCATTATATAGAGAAACAAAAATATTAAACTAATGAATAGTAATTTATATGTGGGACCCACTTTATGACTTATGGGTCTCAAAACTTAACAAAGAAGTAAATGAAAACCTACGGAGGAAAATCTCCTCACTAAAAAATAAAAATAGTAACATCACTAAAAGACAAAAATAGTGACATTAATTCTTTTTTTTTTTTTTACATTTATCAAAAGACTGATTCAATCTTACCGTCATTAACATGCAAGGCTTAATGGGCCTAACAACATGTAACGGAAGAGGAATCGTGACAAGGTAGCAAGATATCATTATCTGCCATTAACCTTTGTCGTCTTTTGATACAGCCGTTATGACGTAAGGGTTTACGTCATGAGAAGCTCCTCGAAACCTTCAAGGGCAAACTAGTCTTTGTATGGCTAATGACGTGGGAGATTAGGCCATTAGGAAATCCTCAAAATCTTCAAGGGTAAAGTCGTCTTTATCTGAAAGACCTATTGGTGATGCTGGAGTTGTACAGTTTCACCATTTGAAATTTTAAGAATGTCTTCTAGAAACTGACACAGAAGACATGTCTTCAAGTCCTTCTTCAACCATCTGGTCAATGAAGTTTAATTCCTCATCATTAGAGGGAAATGAAGCTCCGGGGGTTCCTTGTCCATGGATTCCGGTTTCTTCATAAATTTCTTTGAGAATCCTTTCTCTTTTGAATTGTTCTACCAGAATGGGACTGACTTCAATTGGGAAAGGATGAAACTTGTTTCCCATAAACTGTTTCCAATAGAGTTTGGTATCAGCAGTTTCTTTGCGAAGAATAAAATATGAAATATCCTTTTTAGAGAAATTCTAGTTAGATCCTTCTACATAAGCTTTCCAAAGCTGATATTGGTAAAATTTATCTTTGTTAAGAGTAAGTCCCTGAAAAGGATCTTGCTCTATTGAGGTACGCATCTCAGGATTTACCTCTGTGTATAACTTAACAACATGTTTTGTCATGTTGTCAAGGGAATTAGGACTTCTTGGGGAAGAAGTAATTTTTAAGAGCACACTCATCATATGCTCAGCTTGTATCTCATTTACCACAGAGTTTATTTTTGGGGTTAATGAATGAAATCTTTCTGTAGGAGGGATGGTAATATCTTGGAGACATCCGGCTTCTAACAGAAGTTGAGGGCTTATCAGAAGCTCTCGGTATAGTTGGTTTTTGAAGGTAGACAAATCGATTTGTGCCCTTCGGATGACAAACTTTAACTGCCATGTACAATTTGTGGATACTGTTTTACAGTATTCTGAGGATCCTAAACAAGGGTTCCTAGTGTTAAAGTAGGTTTGTGTTTTGACAGTAAGCCCATTGGGATTTTGGGCTCTAGAGTGAACTTCAAACAGAAAATCTTGTATTACACCAAACTTGGCTAAAAAAATGTTTGGGTTAACCTGGGTAGGAAGGCAACAGGCTCCTGCATAGGTTTGTGTTTGGGCCTTTGGTTCAAGCAAAATGGCCGTTTTTATTTTTTCTTCATTTATGGTTTCCAATTTCAAAGCCATCTGGGCTTCTTCCTTGAAATAAAAACCTTTGTAATTAGACCAAAATTGGTCTTGTTTGGCCTCAGAGAGGTATTTGTAGGAAGTATAAACTCCCTTGTTTGGCCCCGTAACTAGGGCATAATGTGTAAACCCCTTACCAGAAGGAGAAGTTGCGAAAGTCAACCTAACTTCCTTGTTATCTGCATTGCAGAAACTGTATAATGCGCTAATAATGCTTTGCTTCATTTTAGCGACTTGTTGCTCATTCTGAGCTGTGTATTTTGGAATATTCCAAATGTTGTCAATTAAACATTTAATTTGACATTTGTAAATTCCCTACCAGGAAACTGGTAGGAATTTGTAAGTATGGGTAACTCTTGTTTCCCATACTTCATGTATTTTTCCACCATAAATGGGGATTTTGTGGGCTTCGGACCTAAAGACCCTTTCCCTTTTTGTGTAGAATCCATCATTGGATTTCTTGTTCCTGAAAAAGAAACATTAGTAAACAAGTTATATAAACTTGTAGAGGTTATCAATGGTCTTTTGTTCTGAAAACAATCAGAAAATAGGTTATATCAAGCAACAAAATGTTTTATTTTCTCTAGTCCTTGTTCATTCGATTAATTTCATTGTTTTTTCTCAACAATTTTTATAACTATTTTGTATAACAAAATTTGTAAATCTTTTCCATATAAGATAGTTGAGTGAATGATAAGATTGGTACAAAATTGCATTTCATGTATCTATAGGATGTTGTAAACTAGGAAGTGAGTCTTACTCATAACTTATAAATAATATGTTTTTGAAAAATTACTTAAAAGATATTATTTTTATATAAAAAATATTTACAACCATTTTGTTATAGGGGAATTAGTGGATTTGGTGGATGTAGTCTAGTATGAGAAGAATCAATGAAAAAAATTGTTGAAATGTTTTCTAAAACAAACATTTTTGTACGTTAACATTTAAATATTCTATATGTGGATGTTTTTATCTCCCTGTCAGCAGAGTATGTGCTAATCCAGGAACAACATAAAAGTAGATATTGAAAGTATAGTTAAATCCAAAAGTAAATGAAAAAGAATATTTAAAGTTGAAGGTAGAGTTAACAGAAACTATCAGAAGAGGATATATCTTCGACAACCATTGCAATGAAAATATAAGAACACAACAAATGGGGAAGGAGGAGAAGACGGATAATAGATGCTCTCTGGTGAGCACGACTTTGGTGGTGTCAACAGAAAAGGCTCTACGTTGAATTTTAAGCAACTGTTTTTAAATAAGTAAAAAAATTATTTAATAACTTAAAACAAAATTCAGAAGAAAAAATGAAATAAATGAGTATAAAATTTTTTGAGAAAATTGATAAATAATTTTTAATAGTTTTATAACAATAACTATCAATAAAAGCGAAAGTATAAAATAGAAAATTGAAAAGAGAATTTTTTTTTTGGTTTTTAAAATCTAACATAAAAATATTTTTTGGAAATTATTCTCAAAAAACAATTATAAAATGAATTTTTAGTTTTAAAAAAACCTAAACAGATATTTTCTAAGTGTCGGAAATACATTTTAATTTTAGGTTTTAGATTTTATTTTTCATATTTTGATTAATTTTTCTTAATTCTTTATTACTTGTAATAGTTGTACATATATTTTTTTTTATATTTTGATTAATATTTTTAACACTGTATTACTTATAATATAATGTGGTATGGAATGGACATTATTAGCAAGGCCCTGCCTTTCTTTGCCGATCTCGCTCTTTCTCCCTTCCTTCTTCACTGCTTCCCTCAACAAATCAGCACAATACATCCCTAACCATTTTTTTCATATGGATTAACTTTTTTATTAATTTTAATCTACTATAAAATGTGGTTTCTTGGCTAATTTTTAATGAATTTTACTACTGATGGGTCCTATGTATTCTTGTTGGGCATTTAACCTAACTTCTGTTAAATGTTGAATATATGTAGCTTGATCCATGAGTCCTAAACTTCTGTTTTTATATCTAGCCAAGCATGGACAACAAATTTAGGCAAAATTTCCAGCAACAGAGGTGATACCTTTTGATGACCTGTGATTTTACTTAAAAAAAATCAAATGCGTCTCATTATCATTAACGATTCCTAACCATCCACGTAAGTTTGGATGGCTCAGATTTACTGGGGTCTCGCGTGTGTAGTGTGAACCAATTCTCCACTGAAATGAGGTGCTACAACTGTGAACAAATTAGAATATCAACCAAAATTTCCATTTCATAAATTACGAATTCAATTAGAATGCAGTATTAATACAACTTTCCAAACCAAGTTTTCAAATGTCAAGCTTCGAAGGGCATTCCAAAGCAGTTATGGACTGGACGATAGAAAACAAATCTTTTCCAAACACATTTGAAAGTTTCCTTTGGAAAAGGGACGATTCTTTGCTGTAAGACCTCGTTTTTGCATTCAGTACCCACAATAACTTTTCATTTCATTGTCTCACGCTCACCCACAACCGCACCACTCCTTAATCATAATGAACTCCGCACAGCCCCACCTGATCCTACTCTCCTCAACAATATCATTGCATCCCTTGTATTGTGAACTTGGCACAGCACCAACTGATCCTATTCCAATTTCATTGCATCCTTGCATTGGGCATAAACGACTCGTTCACTCCAAAGGCCTTTTTCACTATTAAAAACCCGCCACCAATAAAATCTTCGGTGTTGCAAACCAAGTATCTCAAATATATAGATCACAAGATGTTATCACAGGCTTGGTTAAAAACCAATTTCTCAATGATATTTACGCACAAATGGTGATGATTAATGATGAGCAGCCAAAAGTAAATGCAACAATATATGTAACTCCCAGAATAGAAGTTACTTGCAAAACACCCTTCTAATCTCAAAACACCTGGAACTAACTTCATTCTCCCAATCAATCATATGCAATGGATCACAAACATCAACGAATTAGTGCATTATGAAGCACATTTAATCAACTGTATAAAACAATATGCCAACTATATTTCAAAACAAAAATTCTAACCATTTTCAAATTCATAAACAAGGCCTGGAAATCACATTCTATGGCTCCACTGTTGTCACCTGTTGCCATTCCCCGTCTACTGCTTCCTTCCACAGTGTCACATTGTTGTTCCCATCGGCCACAGCCAATATGTTTCCTGTCAGTGACCATGAAACCCTCCAAACGGGTGTCTTGAAATCCTTCAAAACCTTCCCTTCCCACTGATCACCCTCTTTTGCCATTGTCCATATAATCACTTTACCATCCTGCGATGCACTACTAATAGTAGATTTAGGCAGCCCTAAATTGGGTGCCCAAGAAACATCTCGAACCCAATCCGTGTGCATTTGAAGAGCAGGGAAGCAGTCCATCTTCCACAGTCCATTGTTGAGCTTCCATACCTTAATAGTATTATCACAGCCACCAGAACACAGCTTCTGCACAGGATCAAGCAACCCTGCACCAACAAGGGGACCAGGTGCCATTGCTGGTGCCCATGATACAGAAGTGACACCAACTGGGTGAGCCTGATCAATCCCTGCAGTGTCCCAGCCACCGTCTGCTCTTGCAGTGAAAACAGATATATTCCCATCAGATGAACCACAAGCCAAGCAGAGACCCAACTCGTGGGGCGCCCAAGCAACAGAATTCACAGATGATCTGTGCTCATCAAAAACATGAGCTTGAGTCCATTCATTTTGGTTACCCTCCTTCCAAACAATGACTCGGCAATCATAGGAACATGATGCAAGTAAAGAACCAAACTTAGGGTGAGCCCAAGCTACTTGCCAAACAGGTCCTTGGTGACCAGTCAATGTTGATAGATGCTGAGAGGCCGTGTTGCTCACTCCAATTATCTTAATTGTGTGATCGGATGAAGCTGTTGCCAGCCTCTTACCATAATAATCCATCGCAACATCATGGACCGTGTCTTGGTGAGCCGTTTCAACCTTCTGAGAAGGCATATTTCTACTATGAAGACACATAATGCTAACAGTTAGTATCAAACAACAGTTTGCAAGCTAATTTGAGTTCAACATTTAGATTTCAAATAATTATGTTTTACGTAAACTGTCTTATGCTGTTTATTAATTAGACCAATTTACCCATGATACGTAGATTATATATTTCTTTCATTTATCAAACCACATTCTCTATTCAAAATTCCCAACTGAGATATTTGTCGAAACATTCTCATAAGTGAAAAAGAACAAATCAATACTGGCGAATAAAACGAAAAGGGAAGGGTTTTTAGTTTTGATCCATTCACAATGCATGTATATATACATATATAAACTCAAAGATCAGTTTAGTTACAAAAATCGATTAAAAAAAAAGAAATTGGAAATGTAGCGACTTGTTCGAGGCCGTGATCAAAACAAAGTGAATCTGATAGGCACGGAGAATCGCAATTGTTTTCGCCAACCTTCAATGCAAGTTGCGCCAATTATCATATTACACGCACTTGCTCTGCAAATTGGCTTTCGTTTTCAACATAATCTTGCAAATAATAAAATGAAAAACTCTGAAAGACTTAGAAGATCGCTAAAATTAAAAAAAAAAAAAAAAAAAAAACCTAACCCAATTTCGAAGACGGAACAGAAGGAAGATACGTCTGTGATCTGTGGTGCCTTGATTTCATAGATGGCTAAATGGAACTGTAAACCCTAATTTCGTGTTGCGGCGTGGCGACAGTTCATGTAGAAGTTGGGCTCAATGTGACTCATTGGGCTTTAGTGACAGTAGGAAATTGGGCTCTTTGGTACTGTATGTCCAACCTTTCTTCTTATACCCACAATTATCTTAAAAGACTAAAATATCCTTCTTTAATTTTTAATCCTTGAATCCTATATTCGTTCCTATTATTTCACAACTTTATGCACCTCCATATTCTCTCCTATTTTTCGGCTAGAATATCTCGTGTGTTCTAAAATACCCATCTCAATATCTTAAACACTTATATTCTTATTTTTAAGACCAGATACAATAATTAATTTTTAAAATCATTTTTATATTATGATATTTTATTAAAATAATATATTATATATAAATTATAAATATAAAAATAAGTAATTATTTATTTAAATAAAAATAATCTTAAAAAATAAGATTTCTCTTGTATTTTTTCATCTTTTTTTCACTCATAAATAATAAAAAATATATTTTTAAATATTTGTTTTCATTCATTTTCTACACAAATCTCTTCCTATTTTATATTTTTCCTCCAAATGAACAAAGTCTAAAAGATTATTTTATTAATTTATTTAATTTCTTTTTTAATATATATATATATATATATATATATATATATATAATTTCTTATACAAAGTATAAATGTTTTATGGAGAACTAGACAATAATATAAATTTATATATTTATGTTATTAGGTGTTTTAATTTTATGTTAATAAAACCATTAATGAAATGTTATATTTTACCTAGAGATAATCAAATTCATCAATTATAAAAAATGTAAAAAAATTAAATTGGATCAAAATTATTCATTTAATTTTATAAATAATATACTATTTTTCAAAATATAATGAATCATCACTACAACAGAAAAGACATGTAATATCAGTTCCACAAGTTCTATAATAGCGGTTAAAAACGCTATTAAATGAGACGCTAATAAAAAAAAGAAGTTAAGATAGCGGTTAGTCAACCGCTATCATAAATAAGATATAATAGCGGTTAACGTGGAACCGTTATCATATATATACTTTTAAGAGCGATTAACGTAGAACCGCTATCATATATGTGTCACTTTGAAGAGCGGTTAATATTTTAACTGCTCTTAAAAGTGAATATATAATAGCGGTTTCACGTTAAACGTTATCTAAAATATACTTTTAATAACGGTTAGTTCTAGAACTACTATCTTTTAGTATGTTTAGATAACGGTTCTGGGAACCGCTATCTAAAGTCCCAATTTAAAAAAAAAATTATTTAAATTTTGAAAATCCAAATTTTTTTCTCATAATTTGTACCCGATAGACCACAATTTCGGGGCATATATCAAATTAATCTAACAAAATCCAGCCAACATACAATATATATTCACAGAATTATAGAAAACAATTCAAAATTTGACAAATTAAAACTAAAACTTGCATGAAACAAAATTGGTATATATCTACATCAAATAATTGAAATGATTAAAAAAATCGCTAAGAGTCTATGGTACTAATTTTGTCCTTCAAAAATGTATGATAGAAATATGCACATCATTCCTTTTGTAACTGCTCAATTCTATTGTCCGGAAAGGTAGTAATGCGAGATTCTGGAAAATACTGCAAACATAGATATAAAAGAATCACAAAAGTTAAATATCAAATTAGATAAATAATGACAATACATTATTCTTTCATATAAACATAGCCATAATGAAAAATGGTTCTTACGTTAATTGGAATAGTAGTTTGTCCATGCTGTAATGCATCTCCAATGAATAAGACTACGTAATATCCGCAGTCATTTGAGTTGTTTTGCTTAGGACACTTTGTAGACCAAAAAACATAAAGATAGTTTAGAATAACTGCCAAGTGAAATATAAACATGTATGAAAACATGAATTGGGGTACACTTGATACCTGTACACTGACCCATCTTGTTTGATTCATCTTTTTCTTTGGTGTTCGAAGCCTCCTTTCAGCTCTATATGTAAGTAGAGCATTGAAATAGTAAGAAGTTAATATAAATATCTTACTGTATTGGATATTCACATGCGAAACAGTCATATGAGTTTACTTGTTAAAAATGTTGAGCATATGTGTTATCTCCTTATAGTGACGGTGTAATGAATCAAAATAATACAATGTCTCATCCCGAGTATTGATAGCAATAAGAATCCAATGCGAACTAAAATTATTGAACACAATACAAAGTGAGGAATAAAAATATATAATCAGCAAATTTTAGAATATTTGAAAGGAATTGATCAATCACACAAGAATAACTTACCCAACATTATAAGGAGCAAATACCAAGTGATCTTGACCCAAATGAAGCTTCAACATGTCTGCTATATGTTGATGTGGGTTAACATTGAGCTTCTCATCAAGCTCATATGGAGATATTAAAGAGAACCTACTTTCTTTATCAGTACCATGCAAGTAGGCGTCACATAAATACCTTATAATATAATTGAAGGTCAACAATGAATTAAGTCCAATATATATCAACATAAAGTAACCAACCTAAACAAATAGAAATTAAGTATTTATTATTACCTGATCTACAAGCAAATGCTAGAGGCACTTAGCCACTGACGACGGATAACCTCTAGTATGTTCTCCTTTCCCACAACATCATAAAACTCCTTTCCCCAATACTTCTCAGGTAATTGAATATTAGCATATTCAATTGCCTGATCACTCCAAAATTGGGTAATTAAATATAAATAAATGAGATTTAAAGGATTAGCTACCTCAACTTATTCCCATATGTTATCCTTGAGCAAGCTAGGTACATTACTCCAATCATAAAATAAATGAATTTTCTAGTGCACGTTATTGAGATTATAACATACAAATAATAATTAAAATACATATTTGTCACACCTTCGTCGTTTCTTTAAACCACTTCCATGTGTTTCTAATTCCCTTCATGGTATGAAATGAT